ACTTAGGATATTTTATGACTCATATCATCATCATCATCCTCTCTAACTCTGAATTTGATATGTTTAGTTAGATGAGAGACAGAGAAGAAAACTCAGTTTCTGCCAATAGATATAACACTTTTTTGGGTAGTTTTTTACTCTTGTTTATGTTTTATTTTTAATGTAAAGTGATGCAACACACACAAACAGACATACACAAATAATGTGATTGTTTTGATGAATGCAAAAAGAGAAATGCAAAAAGAAAACTCATAAAAGAAACTGTTCACTTTATTTCTCCAACCTCGTTTCAGCTCTAAGATTTATGTTGACATGGTGACGTTGGATGGAAAATTAAGAAAAAGCTGATGGAAACTTTTTTTCATATGTGTGTAAAAATATACACCACCCCTAAATAAAGCCATTTTATTAGCATCAGTAAATTATCTCATTTCCTTTTCTTGCCCATGAAGTAAGCAGACAATGGAAAAGTGAAGGGCAGTAACAGGAGTGGTGGCTCATGGTAAACTGACACCACAGTTGTGTACTGATGCCTGTGTGACTGAAAAATAGCTGAGTCATTAGGTTGGCACTGTCGCTGCACATATAACACTGACTACTGACCAGCTACACAAGATCTGACACAAGACTGACTGGTGAAGAAAACACTGTAGTGGAGCCATGCTGTGACTGATATGCTCTGGTAAGATTTTAAATTTCCCTAGATTTTTTCCTAAAGTTTTAAACATAAAGATTTATTAATGAATATATTTATTAATTAAATAATGTGAGTAATGCATTTATTTTTGTTTAGATAAGCAACATTTTCACCGCTGTTTTATTTTTTTTATGAAATAAAGACGTAAAAGACATGCATCCTGGGTTAATGTGTTAATGGCACCTGATAGGGATCAGTTTACCTGCTGCACCATTATCTCAGCAGAAGAGGCTAGGCTAATGCTGCAACAGATAACAGGCAGATAAAGTTTCTGTCTTTATTTAGCGCTGCACAATGTGGCTGCCTGGGTCGTGTCTTGCTGTTGCTCCTCAGCAAAGGACGGGACATCATCAGGAGAGACATACAAGTGTAAAGGTGTTCATCATTGGGTAGCATGGTATCATTTCAGAACAATAATCTGCAGAGTTGTCCTAAACATGCTGTTATTTACCTCGTTGTCCAGGAAAGCAAGTGTGGACAGTGTCTGATGATGCAGCAACATCCAGTCAAAAGCCTTCCTAATTCCTCTCAGCAGTGCGGAGAGGAACGACAGCCACATTTTCTCCACCCGGACACCCTGCAAAGTGTTTAATCTCCGCTCTGGTCTGACTCTGTGTTGCTCTGTGCTTGTTATAATGATGACTTATCTAAAAACTCCTGTTTGGGAAGCTGGATAGTGTCTGACAGCTGACAAATACAGCAGCATCAGTCAGGTCATCATGTCACATCATGACTTTAACCAATAAAGAGTTGTGCAGGATGTTTCATTTTGTATTTCTTGGTGTGTTTCCAGTAAAGTGGTGATTTCCAGTATTTGCCGAAAAAAAGAAAAGAAAACAAAAGAAGAAAGACGATTGCTCGTACAAAGTGAGGCTGCAATCAGTTTTCAGTAAAGTGACTTTTATTTATCGAGCTAAAAAATGTCACTGACATATAAAATTGTATTTTTCTAGAGAGATCTGGCCAAGAGTGGGGCAGAAAATGCAACAAATATAAAATAACAGTCCTATAAAAATATCTGAAGTGGCCAAAAAGGACTGGACTGGTTATAATAGAGAGCACAGAGGAGTTACAGTAACAGACAATCATTTAACCCCTTCGTAGATCCTCTTTGCTACAGTCTATTTACCAATATGAGCAAAGATAGCACATAAAAACACACAGACCTTTTGTGAAACCATCTCTTCTCTCTAGTGTCTCTGGCGCCATCCTGTGGAAGAAACTACTGTTTCAGGGTGTAGGACTTGTTGGGGATCAGTCTGCTGAGCGTGCAGGATTATAAAAATATTTCCAAGGTTTATGAAAACACCATGGCAACACAGGAAATATGCACTGATCATAAAAACACGCCAACTACTTGTTAATGGGATTACACCAAATATGTTAAAGTATCCATGCCGGTCAGTACTTTAATACTGTACACTGCATATTAACTTTTTATTGTTAAAATTCAGCATCTCATCTTCTGGTAACTGACCAAGATGAGGCAAATGATCAATAGTGGGTCATCGACACTCTTAAGGGACAAATTCCACTGGGGATTAAACACCAGGGGCTCTCCACCATTTGGTTTTAGAATTGAAGAAGCTTCTTGGCTGAGAGGTGAAACGTCTTCAAGAAACTGAAAGAACTCCAGTCGCTTTCTTTCCAAGCTCCTTAGCTGCCCATCTAACTACTAATTGTTATGATGCAAAGATTATTACAAGTCCAGGCCATAAATAATGAGCCAATGAGCTAGAGAAGTATCTACGTTTTTGAACATTATGTTTCATCCCCTTTTGCCTCCATTTATATGTATTTTTAAAAAATCCACATGGGCAACAAACACTCCGAAACCCAGAGACACAGACACAGCCAAAAAAGCTTAATCCTGAGTCATATGCACCATTTCAGAAGAACAACTTCACTGATTTAATTCACTAAATTCTTCTCCTGCATGCTAACGATAGGGAGAGGACTCAAACCAATATCATTTATTCTATGTTTCTATTTTATATGTTGATTTTCCTTTAAATATTTGGATCTGTTGTGGAAAGTAAAGAAAGAATCTAATTGTCCAGGGAAACATGATGCTTTTACATATGATAATAAAACTTGGGCATATGGTTAATGATGAACTAATGTAAGAAAATAACTGAAACACCACCGCATGCAATATCATATCATTTATTTAGAATAGAAGAAAGCACAAATGTATTTACATTCACATGTACAGTAGCATACAATTCCATTTTTTATATAATTACCTAACTCTCCAAAGTACCCAGTCTGTACAACGTTAAAGTGACTATTTTAGTTTACAGTGTGGAACAATGCAGCGGAAACCATGTACACCCCTTAGTTTCACATGACTGTACACATCTGTGATGGTACTTTACACCTGAGCTGGTGAGGATTTGATGCAAACATATCAATTAGATTTAAGGATTACGCACAGAATCATTGATAACAAATGATATAAAAACGAAATATGGGTTGTCTTTTCTCTCTTTCTTTCATCTTCCAAAACACAAAAATTAAAGCATGATTTCTGACAAAAAGAAACACGCAAAAACAAATTAGGCGAGAAATGCTTTCACCGTCACCTCGACTCGTGTTTTCCTTTCACTGAGCACCCTTTGCTCTAATCGGCTCTAATCTAAAGTGCAACGTCGTCCTGCCTGGCAGTACTTCCAGTGTTTCCGTCATCATAGCACCATGGTTGGGATGTGGTGCACCAGGGGCATCTGGTGAGGTACGGCTGTCATTTGTGGGGGAGGAGGGGACACCTGGGAGGGCGCATCGGCTCCGGCAGCCACTGGTTTGTGCCGTGCGCTCTTCTGGTGCGCCCTGAGGCCCGCCAGCTGGGAGTACGCGCTCTGGCACACGTGGCACTTGTAGGGCCGCTCGCCGGTGTGCAGGCGCACGTGGTTGCGCAGAGTGGACGACTGGCTGAAGCGCCGGTTGCAGAAGCGACAGACGAAGGGCTTGTCCAGAGTGTGGATGCGCATGTGCGAGCGCAGGTTGCTGCGGGAGTTGAAGCCGCGGTGGCAGATGACGCAGCGCATCCGACCCGTGGAGGAAGAGGGGGTGGCGGAGGAGGAGGAGGAGGAGGAGGGGGAGCACGAGGAAGGGCCGTCACAGGGGTGGGAGTCATCTGGGGAGAAAAAAGAGTAGGAGATGTTTGGAAACCTTTTCAGCTCGAGTTTCACGTGGTTACCGTGATTTTTTTTAAGTAGCTCCTTTTTCATTCACAGTGAAATAAAACCTGCTTCTCACCATTTCTGCCTTTCTTCTGGTGTTCTTCTTCGGTTCCGGGAACTCCAGGGATTCCCAGGAACGTGTTCTGAGTGTTTCCATACCAGACAAGCAGCTCTTGGTCTGGCGGGATGGTCTGAGAGGGGAAAAGCGAGATAAAAAAAAAATCAGTTAGATATCGTGAAATTTCGATTAGTTGCAAATGACAAAGAAAGAAATCACGGGTTAAGTTCTTATTCTAGCCAGCAGGTGGCACCTGCATTTTACACGCTTAGAGGTCTTTTAATGCCATGGGCATGTTACAGCTGCTATCTGGACTGAACCTAAGTGCGTCCTCACCTCCACGGCCTTGTAGAAGATGCTGCTGCCGATCTGCACCACCTCCAGGTTTTGCTCCTGCTCATTCCGGGCACACTTGATGTAAGTCATCCAGCTGCGCTGATCCTCCTGACTGGCGTCGATGAAATAACGCACTGTGCCGTCTTCGTTGAACACCTGAGCGCACAAGGCAATAAGAAGTCGGAGAAATTTATAAAGAGTCCGACTGAGGAATTTGGATAACACGGGCCTCATCAGGCTGCGGGATGAACAAATGAAGTTAGAAGCTCACCTCCCACATGAGATTGTTGTTCTTGAATAGGTCCACGTGTTCAGGGGACAGGAGCCTCCCTGTGAAGGGGCCCATCTCGGTGCCGGCTTTGATCCAGGTCTTCGAGAAGATGCCCAGACCCTCACCGGGGATCGAGCTCTGGGCGATAATCACCTCACTGGGCAGCACCAGGCTGGACAGCTTCTGCACCTCTAAGAATATAAAGAGGAAGAAACGTGAGAATGTTTTTTTTTTGTTTGTTTTGTTGTGTTGTATTTCTATAAGGAAGTTAAAATACGGAGAGCGGCTGGTACGTTTAGATGATAACGCGTACTGTGAATCTTTGTGTCAGTTAAAGGGCATGGGAGCCAGATCACTGTGGTCCGGAGACGTTCAGCACCAAAGCTTTGCTGGAAAAAAGTCCTTAAAGCAGCAAATGAACTGGATCTTATTTTAGTCACGAAATATTAAGCTACACCTCATCCTCCGTTTAATTCGATTATCTGGCTGAATTGAAACTTTTTGTTGTGCAAAAGCCTCTCGGAAAGCATTTTCATCCGCAACAGAAAGGAGGGAGGAAAAAAAGAAAATCGTGCTTCTTTAATGTCAAAATCAAAGATTTTTTTTTATTACTTCGGGCTGCCAAAAAAAAAAAAAAAAAAAATCCCGTCCGAATAGGGGTTAAATGGTCCTCTATTGCGCAGGGTCCAACAATTTGTCATGCTTCAGATGTGATATTCATTAAAGTTTACTGGAAAAGAAACGGCTAATTCCAAATTCATTATCCTTTTAAGAACTTTGTAGCAATAAATTTGCACTGAATGAAACGCGGACTTGTTAAAAGCCTCAGGAATTTCTGCAACAAAAAAATGGAAAGGCGATTAGATGGTTGACATGCAATGAATAGCATTAGATTTAGCCTTCACGGTGCATTATGTGAGGAACAGCAAATCTTTTAAGGAGAGAGAAAGAGAAAGGCTCCGGAGCCCCATAGCTGCCAAGAGAGGAAAAGAGACTGTCCGGAGATTGATGAATGCAGGATAAAAAAAGAAAAAAAAAAAGAAAAAGAAAAACCCGGGGACATCTTAAAGAAAGGAAACCTTTCACTCCGCGAGGTTTAAGTGGAAACTTTCCCAGGTCAAGCACAAAGTTAACCAAATGAATTTAATGCTCTGCGTCTTTCAGTTACACGCCTAACAAGCCTCCGGCGCGAGGTCTCGGAGCCGGGGAAGGGTTAACGCGTTAAATGGGTCGAAATAAAAGCAGAAAAAAAAATGGGAGAAAACGTGGAAAGCAGCGAGGAGTCAGGGAAAGTTTAGGACGTAAGCACTGTAGAAGGCCAGTAACAGGTCCGTGTTTATAGCGATGAAAATAAATGAGAATTTTGAGAGAGAAAAATCTGTGGGGGGAAAAATACAAAGTTTTATTGTCGGCTTTGATTAACGAAGAAAGATGATTTGATCAAATACTTCCAAAAATGTGTCCTACAGCCATAAAGCGCAAATCAAGGGGACCTTTTACGCACAACCTGGTGTAACGAAAACAAACCAAAATCTGCATTAAAAAAAACACAAACCCGCACTGCAGTGTGGTTAAACATTTTAATGAAATTGTAAAGCATCAGCAGCTCAGCCTACCTCCAGCGAAGGACTGAGCCAAGACTTCGGCGGTAAAGGCGGTCTTGGGGCTGCTGCCGGTGCTACCCTGCCGCTCCTCCGCCAGGTGTTCGCCCAGCACGTTCCTCCACCTGCCGTACAGGAAACTGTGCAGGATGTCCGATGTGATCACGTCCGACAGCGAGCGACTGGGGCACTTAAATCCAGATTTTAGAGCCAAAGCGTCGGCGGGTAGCACGGAGCCCATGTTGTAAGACGAGTAAAAAAAAAACCCACAAAGAGCGAGGAGGGGAAAAATCAACCCAGAGATGATGATAAGTGAAGCTGCAGCGAGCGGAGGAGAAGGAGGAGAAGAAGAAGTGGACACACAGGGAGTTGCTCTTCAGTCCGCCCCTCTCTCTGCTCCAAACTGCGCAGTAAAGCTGCCCTGCCTGGTTGTGGGGGTCTCTTTATATAAGTGGCTAGTGTGACCCCTGTCTAATTACTTATTAATGACACACCCCTCACCGCGTGGACCTGCCTGCTGCACGGCAACAAACCAGCAGAGACATTAAAACCAACGGAGACAGAGGAGGGGAGAGTGAGGGGAGGCGGGGGGGTGGGTCAGCGGAGGGGCAAACTTTACTTTGGTAATTATCCGCACATAAAGCTGCATATTAAATTAACACACATGCGCAAAGCCATTGTAGTCATGCATGTGAGATCGAAAAAGGCACACAAATTAAAAAAAAAA